TCGGACGGTGAGTAAATCGGAGTTGAAAGAAGGGTTGATGAAGGGGAAAATCTGGAAAATTTTCCAGAAAACATACAGGAATGGGGGATTTATAATTCAACTCATAATAAAAATGGCTAAACCATGAGTTTAGTCACTGAACTTCCTGTATTTCTTAAAATGGTCTGCCAACTTTAAAATCTTACAATTTAACCCACTGTTTCTTTCAAAATACCAAATTAAATCCACCACTTTATAATTTCTTAATTTTAGCCCCTAATTTGGGGTGTTACAGATTGGCACTATATGACATGCAAGTGTTGTGATCACAGAGACTGATGGTCTGGTGCATCCATGCATGGCCCCTCCCCCAATGGGGTTCTCTCTTCTTTTGTTCTGGATTTTTATATATCGATGGATGAATATGGAGTTTTTCAATAATGTAGATGCAGACTCTGAAAAGGACAAATTTGATTTACTGTTTAGAAAAATTATCTTATTCTTCTCTTAATCTTGATGACAATGACGATGATGATGGAACCGATAGCAGAGTAAGGGGGGCCACTCGATCTGAGTGGTACGTTGCCTGACATTATGAGAGAAGTTTAGGAAGAAAGAGACATATTATTTGAATCTAGATGATATCGACGATGACGATGATATGGAACCGAGAGCAGAGTAAGGGGGCCACTCGATCTGAGTGGTAAGTTGCCTGACATTATGAGAGAAATTTAGGAAGAAAGATACATCTCTATGCCTACTTCCTCTGTGTTTCATTCTCATTTTCTTTTAATTTATAATAATTCTGTTTTTACATAATGTTTTCGATGGTTTGATTATATTTTTAGGGTTAGATTTGTCATCGTCTCAACTAATCAAGATAACGCTTATTTGTCATTATGTTGGATCTTTTTGTTTTAGACCCTCGAATGGACTTTGATACATGTTTGCATTCGTAGATAGTTTTCTCATGACGTTCGATCTTTTAGTAGTTTAATTCTCAGTTGTAGTTCATTTGCCAATTAGATCAAGTTTGTTCGTATCTATCTAGTGTTTGAGTTTTTCATATAGGTTTTAAACCTTTCCATTATATGATCCTTAAATAATATCGAGTGATTAATTTATTGTGTCAATGGTTAAAAAAATATTCTAATCATGTGTTTAATTTACTAACTTCGTTATAATTTTAAATATTATTTTTTTAATAAAACTAGTGATTCTATTTAAATAAAAATATTTTATTTTAATATATTACTTATCTACAAATTTAAATTTTTAAATTTAAATAATTACCTAAAATAAACCAAAAACTTTCAACCCAATTACTATCTTAGCTATATGGACAAGGTGATACCTTTAAATAACTGGGCATGGCCATTCGGAACCAAAATAAATGGGCTAGATCTTTATCAAAATTGATCCAAACCCTTAAAGCCATAAGCAAACTTACGGGCCTTTAAATTAATTCCATAACTTAATCATGCTTAACTAACGGTTTTTCCCCTGATACGCAAATACTTTAATTAATTAGCCCAATAGGACATATAGAAGTTTATTTAGAAATTTAAGATATTTATGGTAATGATTTGAAATTCGTCATGTCGAGGTGGCGAGTTCTAAAATTTTTTATTTAAACTTTTTACCCCAATATAATAAAGTTTAATAAATCTTTTTTATTTAAAGTCGTCACATCAACGTGATGAGTTTAAATAAAAAAAATATTTGGGTAAATTAATCATCTCGACGTAACGGGTTTCTTGAACACTATAACAAATATTATAGATCGCAGACTATATACTTTATTGAGCTATTTAAAACAATTTGCCCTATTAGGCAAAAAAAACCCCTAACTAACGTCCTTAATCCTGAAAATTTAACCCAATTTCGCCATCGAGTTTGGGGAGGAATGACATTCGAATTTTAGATCTATTAAAAGTTATAGGGTAAATTTTTGGTTTAGTCATTCAATTATTAGACTGTCTTTATTTTTACAATCGAACTAAAATTTTTATAGTTATTTTGTGTGCATTATTTTGCACTCCACCATGTTTCAATGTTCACAGGAAATTTGTTTGACTAAAAGAGATTTTTAAGTAATTATTAATATAGAATAAAAATTGGAGTACATTTTTCTATCCACTTATTTTTTATTTATTAATTAAAATAATAGGCTATTGTATTTAAAATTGATTTTAGTAATAAAAATATTATTCTATATAAATAATAAAACAATCGAATATTGTTAAAATCCATTAGAAATAATAAAACAATAAAATATTGTTAAAGTAAAATATAATTTTAAAAAATTCAGTTTAATAGATTCATTATGAAATCAAAGTTCAAATATTTCACGCCCGCAATCAGAATGTTATTATCTATTCTGCCGCCTTGTTTTAGGTTTAATTTAAATCAGACCCTTAAATTATATATTTTTTTCATTTCGATATTTAACTTTTTATATTTACTGTTTAAATTATCAATTATGTCTCAATTATTGTAAAAAAAATTATTGATGGTTAATATGGGCTGGTAATTTATAGAGATTAAGTAAATTAGAAATAATAGAGATTAATTGGTGATTTATGATTTACTTTTTTATTATAAATAAAGAATTAATTGATTATCTTCCGTTAGTCGGGATTTATCTCATAGTTTTTTATTAAGTTAATGTAATTATAAAGTAATATATTTTTAAATACTCTCAACCATTATACAATGAACACTCAATCACCATGTTGCAACCGCTGGTGTTCGAAGTTCGAACCCGTGACCTATAGAGATAACAACGATTATGATATAATATTAGAGTTGGTTTTGATGGGTTTTTTTTTATAGAAAGTGCTAGTTTTATTAAAAATAGAAAATATTCAAAATTACAATGAAGATTTACCAGCATAACCGTAAACCTGAAATATAATTATGACATTTTCCTATTATCATTTAGACAAAGAATAGTCACCTAAATCACATAAGGATCAAAGAAGGAAAAAGTTAAAAAAACCTAACAAAACACTCGAATAAAATATTAGAGCTGGTTTTGATGGTTGATGCATCAAAACAATATTTTGAAAAATGAAGAGTATAATAAAATTGATACGGATATCAATTATTTGTTCGTCTAACGGAATGAGGTGTTAAATTTATTAAGCAAAGTCAATAATTTAAAATTTGATATAAACAAATGAATTTAAAAAATTTTTTATAACATTTTTGTAATACATAATATAAATTAATTGGTTAATAAATTAAAGATTAGTAATTATAGAAATATTGATGTATGCTTTGGGATAATATGTGATTCAGATTTTAATGAAAGTGTTTTTATAAATACATACTAAAAGCCTAAAAGTTGTTATTTAATAAAAGGGTGAAGTACACAAATAGTGCATCGATAATAAAATATTACTTTATTAAGTCATTCGACTATTAGAAAGTTACAAATTGGTCTCCTAATTATAGGACTTTTTTTAAGTATTCAACTATTAAAAGTTACAAAATGGTCACCCGACTATTCATTGTGTTCTAAATTCTCCCTTTTTCGTTAAAAATGCTGGATGTTAACCAGCTAGCTGAGATATGATAGTCGTTTAAGATTTTAGGATCATATTATATAATATCTCACTCAACAGATTAATGTCAAACTCAAACTGTCATCGATTGTTTAATAGAAAAGGACGAGTTGGAAATATAATGAATAGTCAAGTGACCATTTTATAACTTTTAATAGTCATGGGACTTAAAAACGTCTTATAGTCGGAATACTATTTTGCAACTTTTAATGGTCGAATGACTTACTAAAGCAACACCCTATATTCAGGGGATCATTTATGTACTTTACCCTTAGTAAAAATTCATATATTTAACTTATTATAAATTTTAGTGTAAACCACATATTTAGTACTTAAACTATCAATTTTGATTTGTTTTAGTACCTAAACTTTTAATTTTTTAAACCATATCTAAAGTTTAGTTTTTATTTCATTTTAGTACCTCGTCGTTAAAAATTTACCGCGTTTAGTACCTAAACTATCAATTTTGGTCCGTTTTAGCACCTAAACTTTTAATATCGAAACTTAACGTTAAATTTTGAACGATATTACTAAAATAAAATAAAAACTAAACTTTACGTTTGGTTTTGAAAAAATTGAAAGTTTAGATACTAAAACATATCAAAATTTATAGTTTAAGTAGTAAATAGGTAATTTACCCTAAAAACTTCCCACCGTCGCATGAGAAGCCCTAATCGTAGATTCAAAGTCAAGTCGTTGATTTGTGAATAATTAAGCAATAGAATTTTATATAATTTATTGTACTAATCTAATTTAAGAAAAAAATACGTCATAACTACAATTCCCCTTATATGCGTTGAATTTTAAAGTATAATAAATTTAAATATACTCATCTCATAATAATTCATTTTATATAAATTATGATATATTCATAAAATTGTATAAATTTATCTAAAAAATAAAAAATCAATTTCCCGAAAATAAATTTATATTTCAACTATTTTTTACAGAAAAATTAAGACCAAGGGTACAGCTGAAAATGGAAATAAAATAAAAGGGTAGAGATCACAAAAAAGCAACAATCTCGGCGTTAATTCTCAAATATTAAAGAGTACAAGTCCCACGACGAAAAAGGAGCAGAATTTTATTTTCTAGTGAATTTACCCATTACTCCTCCACAGTCTCACCTAACCCGTATCCCTACATAAAACACGTCGTAATGTGAAGCAAACGCTGAGGACACAATAGTCATTTAAGCTTAAAGCTGTCTCTCGAAATCGGTCTAGTTTTGGAAATTAGATAGATTAAAAGGGCTTTTGCTGTAAATTCAACTAACAAAGCCATTATGATATCTGGAGCAGCAAGCCAAATCGAACCAAAAGCTACAGAAAAAAAATGAGAAAGTTCTGAAAAAAAACACCACCCAATAAACGTTTTATGGATTGCAGTTTTCTCTATCAATTCATTCCCTCTCTTTAATTCTCTGTTTCTTTTATAAACAAATTTTTATAATTTTCATGTTGCTAAAATTAGAGAGGCTCTGCTCCTTTCCATGTTTTTTATTCCCCAGCATAGATTCTTCTCTTCCTACCACTGTAATAATTTCTTTTATGGGTTAATGGCGTATTAATCAGTTAGTGTTTTGATTTTATTTTTCTGGGTAGCCATTAAAACTTGGAGAGAAGCTGTTTCAGACTAGTACTTAGGAATCTGGAGCTGTTCTAAATTGTTTTTGGGCAGTTGTTAGGCTCAACAAGATGTCTCAAACCAACTGGGAAGCTGATAAAATGTAAGTCCTTTCTTGTTGCCCCTTTTCTTATTACAGTTTACTTTTTTGGGGGTTTCAATAATATTTTCAGTTTTTTTTTGGGCTTGATTTGAGTTCTGGCTATATATGCCTTTCTGTGTTTAGCCTTGTTCTCTATGAAGTGTTTTAGATTCCAAGTTTAATTCGTTGAAGCTGGTAGTTCTTAGGGCTTGATTCTTTCTGGCACTTGTAGTTACCCTTTTGCTGTTTTGCATCATTTGTTTTCTTTATTTTTTATTCAGGGTATTTTTTATGTTTATGTTTTTGAAGAACTCTTTTGGTGCAATAGCTTATTTAAAATCCAAAATTTTATGAAGCTGTTCATCTGATTTTCATTGAATATGGGTTACTTTTTTTTTGTTGCTATAGATTCGGTTGCCTTTGCTAATAGGGTTGTGAAATTTGATTTGTTGCTGTAATTAGTGATTTTTGGCTATTTATTTTCTCAATAACAGGTTAGATGTGTATATCCATGATTATTTAGTGAAGAGGGATTTAAAGGCTTCAGCTCAGGCATTTCAAGCTGAAGGGAAAGTATCATCAGATCCCGTAGGTAAGTAATTAAGTGGGGTTCACGAATTATGTAAAAGCTGAAGAAGACTTTTCTTACTTGTTTGGGCTCTCTTCTTTTTACTCTTAGCATCAAATTTTCCTGTAAAAGATATAATGTTTTTGTTGATTATAATGATGATTTTTGAATCTGGATATCCAGCTATTGATGCGCCTGGAGGTTTTCTCTTTGAATGGTGGTCCGTTTTCTGGGACATATTCATTGCCAGAACTAATGAGAAGCACTCAGAGGTTGCTGCATCTTATATCGAGGTCAGTTTTGATTTTGTTTCTCTTTCTCAATTTAAACTGTCAATTTACTTTGATGGCCTAGCGTCAACATTTTTCCTTTTGCATCTTTTGTTGGGTAGAGGGGGCAAATGAGAAAGAGTTGGGTTCAAGGTTAACACCCATCTCGCATGCCTTACAGTTTATCTGGAGTGTTCACCCCTTTAGCTTGTTGTTGTATTTCTTGCTATATTGTACTGATTATTTATTATTTAGTTGTTTGTTGATAAATGAAAACTTAGAGACACCAGTCAGTTGCACATTGTATATTGTACTTCTACACGGAAATTGTTTTTTTCCTGAATCCTGAAAGGATGTTGCATTATGAACTTAGTGACGATGGCTGGACAAGTATCACTGTTGAATTCTGCTAAATTTGTTAATTATTTACAAATATAGTATATCAAATCCTTAACCATTCCTAATGATATTTGTCTTTAAGATATAGTGATGCTTATGGTGCATTGTGGTATTGCAGACGCAGTTGATTAAAGCTCGAGAACAGCAGCAACCTCAACATCAGCAACAACTGCAGATGCAACAGCTTTTATTGCAGAGGCATGCTCAGCAGCAGCAGCAGCAACAACAACAGCAGCAACAACAGCAGCAGCAGCAGCAGCAACAACAACAGCAGCAGCAGCAACAACAGCAGCAGCAGCAACAACAGCAGCAGCAACAGCAACTACAACAGCAGCAGCAGCAGCAACAACAGCAGCAGCAACAACAACAGCAGCCGCAGCCGCAACAAAGAAGGGATGGGCCTCATCTCCTGAATGGCAGTACAAATGGACTTGTTGGAAATGACACTCTCATGCGTCAGCCTGCTGCGACTGCTAATGCCATGGCAACAAAGATGTATGAGGAAAAACTGAAGTTGCCACTTCAAAGGGACTCTTTGGATGATGCGGCCATAAAGGTAGGTGAATCATCTTTATTTTCTTAGAAACATGTTATTCTTTTAGTTGTTAACTATCAAGGAACTCCCTGCAGCAAAGGTATGGTGAGAATGTTAGCCAGCTCTTGGATCCAAATCATACCTCACTGTTGAAGCCTGCAGCAGCAACCAGCCAAACGTCAGGGTGAGTATCTTTCATATTTTTTATCACTCAGAAAAGCCTTTGGCTGCAGATGATTTTGTATTGCAATCTGAACAAGGTCATATGGATGTTAACTAAGACCGTTTGCAAAAATGCTTTGCAAGGTATTAGATTTAAAATCTAGGGTAACTCCCTTCAATCTTGTGGTTTGTCTGCTCTAACATGAATTTGAGCCACAGAACAAACACAAACAAACGGAATTGTTTAACCTTCTTTTTATCTGAAATAGCCAGTAACACATTTAGGGGTTGTTCTGCATCCAGCACTTAGTTGTTTATACCTATAAACTTGTTTGGCATCTTGCAAATCCCAGGCAAGTGTTGCACGGTACTGCTGGTGGCATGTCTCCACAAGTTCAAGCTCGAAGCCAGCAATTGCCAGGAACAACACCGGTAGGGTCACATTATATTGATCTTAATTTGTTGCTTCTGTTAGTCATTTTCTAAAATTTATCTGGTTGCAGGACATAAAGAGTGAGATAAATCCAGTATTGGATCCCAGGGCTGCCGGTCCAGATGAATCTTTAATAGGAATTCCGGGTAGGCTTGTGTCCCTTTCTTAGGTTCTGTTTCAATTGCATCTTTACTTTGAAAATGGAAGAAAAATTACAGTATTAACTCAACTACTGTTTTCTTGTTCTTGTGATATGATCGGCCCTTTTGAAATTTGGAAAATAAATTGTTAATGTTAAGTTTTTTTTTCAGGCTCGAACCAAGGTGGTAATAATTTGACTTTGAAAGGATGGCCTTTAACAGTAAGTTTTATAAAGAGTTGCTTTGCTCTAGAGTGATAAATACTATAGTTGTCTATTTGAAATAATATTTTTTTCTCATTTCGTGTATTTATGAATTGTAAATTTTACCTTTCATGTATTTCTTCTGAATGGTCATCGTTTTATCCATTTGTAGGGACTGGACCAACTGCGATCCGGGTTACTACAACAGCAAAAGCCTTTTATACAGGCTCCTCAGCCCTTCCACCAGCTTCAGATGTTGACACCACAGCACCAGCAACAACTCATGCTTGCTCAGCAGAATCTGACATCACCATCTGGAAGCGATGAAAACAGAAGATTGAGAATGCTGTTGAATAATAATCGGACCATGAACCTTTCAAATTCTGTTGGTGATGTTCCCAACATATCGTCTTTGCAGGCAGGCAGTCCGCTGATGCAGCGGGGAGATGCAGATATGCTGATGAAGGTATTATTGCCTCTATGAAGTGTCTTTTCCTACTCTTTCTCTTGAAAAGAAAATTTACATTTCCCTTCTCGTTTGTTTGGTGTTTTGTTATAAGTTCTATAATCTTCCAATTTCTAAAATATTTAATCTGCCTTGCAGTTAAAATTGGCTCAGTTTCAACAGCAGCAACTGCAGCAGCAACAGCAACAAAACAGTAACTCACAGCAGCACGCACTCTTGAATCAGCAGCCACAGAGTTCTAATCCAAGTCTACTTCAACAAGATAAAGTTGGTGGAGGAAGTGTCACCCTGGATGGTAGCATGTCTAACTCATTTCGAGGGAATGACCAGGTCTTCCCTTTTCTGGTTACCTTGAATTTATCTTGCTTCTATGTGGCACTCTTCTGGGTGTTGTGGTGCATGGTAGAGATTTGCAATGTCCCATTTTTATTAAATTTTTTTGGATGGAACCATGAATGTTTTATTTCTGTGTTGCTCTTCCCTAATATTATAATAGATTAGCTTAAAAACTTCGCTTTTACCGCCTTCTTCTCCTTTTCTTTATAATACTTATCTCATAGAATCATTCCAAGAATAACCTGTAGGGTATGGTCTTAAGCTTTATTGCTTATTTTTTTTTCCTGTTCAAGCGATTTTGGATCGCATTTATAAGTTCTATTGTAGTACACTGCGGCCTGCGCTTAAGTAAATATCTGAGCCGGTTCATTCCTAACATAGTTTCCTTAATTATTTTTAGGTTCCAAAAAACCAGAATGGAAGAAAGAGAAAACAGCCGGTATCTTCTTCAGGCCCTGCCAATAGCACAGGGACAGCGAACACAGCTGGTCCTTCCCCAAATTCAGCACCTTCCACACCGTCAACGCACACCCCTGGAGATGTGATTTCAATGCCTGCAATGCCTCATAGTGGTAGTTCTTCCAAGCCTATGATGATGTTTGGCGCTGATGGCACTGGCACACTTACATCACCATCAAACCAGTTGGTGAGTACATTATCATCTTTGCATGTTGATGAAGGAATTTAAAATTTATTGATTGAGTTCTCATTGGAATTCCATTTTGGCAGTGGGATGATAAAGATCTTGAATTGCAGGCTGACATGGATCGATTTGTGGAGGATGGATCACTTGATGATAATGTTGAATCTTTTTTATCCCATGATGATACTGATCCTAGAGATGCAGTTGGCCGATGTGTGGATGCCACTAAAGGTCTATAAAATAACTTTTATGGCTATGACTTGTTAAACTCTGCTGTTGGGAATCTTATATCACCACTTTTCTTGAATATTGTTGTTCTGTTATCTTGAATTATTTTTGTCCATAGTTAAATTGTTTGTGAAATGATTATGGCAATTGATGCATGATCATTGGAATCCGCCAAATGTTTTTTGGTGTTATTCTTACTGAATTGGCATCTTAATTGTTGGTTATTGTTACTAACTTCGTTATCTTGCCACATCGATATATTTTTTTTGGCATTTGAGGTTACAAGGGATTGAATCTTGATAACTGGATCTGGAAGCAAGAGTTCTGCACTTTACTAACTAATCACACGGCTGTTTGCCACATAGGTTTATATGTTAAAATGCTAATTGAATCTGACCAAAAGAAATTGAGCCTATTGTATGGGCGCTGATATTTATCCTTTATATGCAATCATCATAAGTGGATTACTTCCATGCTTTAACAGTATACCAAATTTTAATTTTTCTTCAGGTTTCTCATTTATGGAAGTAAATTCTGTTCGAGCAAGCAGTAGCAAAGTTACATCTTGTCATTTCTCATCTGATGGCAAGTTGCTTGCTAGTGGTGGCCATGATAAAAAGGTGAGTTCCCAGAGGAGAGATGGAATTTGGTTACTTCTGAAATGTTCATAACTGGTTTTCGTTTTCAAATCATGCTAAGAATTGAAATCCTTTGCGTCTTCTTTTTTTTTTCTCCCAACACAGGCTGTATTATGGTATGCAGATACTTTGAAGCCAAAGTCTACACTTGAAGAGCATTCCTGTTTAATTACTGATGTTCGTTTCAGTCCAAGCATGTCACGCCTTGCAACATCTTCGTTTGACAAAACTGTCAGAGTTTGGGATGCTGATAGTGTTAGTAGACATTTTTCCTTTTCTTTTTCTCTAAATTGTTTTAACTTTTGGGATAATGATGTCTTCAACTCATGTATGATGCCCACGTGCTTTATTGTAATTCTAAGTTTCTTTCTTCTGGATACCCATTCAATTGCATTGAGATAACTTAAAGATGCCTTGTTTTGCAGATTTTATGTCTTACGTCCTTTATTAGCATGGTGCAGCCAGTTATTTCTCATAATTTCTGGTTTATTGCATTTCTAGATTGTCTTTTGATGAAAATCTCTAATTTTTTGGGAGCTTGTTTGCGTCAGAAGGTTCTTGTCTTTTTTTTAATTAACATTTGCTTTTTCTTGACTTCTTCTCCAGCCTAGTTACTCACTTCGTACCTTTATGGGACATTCTGGTAATGTTATGTCACTTGACTTCCACCCGACTAAGGATGACCTTATCTGCTCTTGTGATGGTGATGGTGAAATCAGATATTGGAGTATCAACAACGGAAGCTGTGCAAGAGTTTTTAAGGTATGATTTTGCATCAGATTTCCTTGCAGTGTGACTAAATCGAAATTAGGACTCTCCTTGAGGTTGATATGCACCTGTTAAGATTGTCTCCTTTGTGTGGATCAGGGTGGTACAGCTCCTGGTACAGCCCAGTTGAGATTTCAACCTCGCCTTGGAAAATATCTTGCTTTAGCTGCAGAGAATGTTGTATCTATACTGGATGCAGAAACTCAAGCATGTCGACACTCATTACAGGTGAACCATGTGGATTAATTTGAGAGATTTGCTCTTGCTGAGTGTTGACCTATTTACTCTCTGAAATTTTATATGTACATGCATACAAGGATATTGATTTTTTTTTTATTCATTTTATAATGATAGGGACATACAAAACTGATCCATTCCGTGTGCTGGGACTCTTCGGGTGAGTTCCTAGCATCTGTCAGTGAGGACTCCGTCAGAGTCTGGAGCTTTGGATCAGGAAGTGAAGGGGAATGTGTTCATGAATTGAGCTGTAGTGGCAACAAGTTTCACTCTTGTGTTTTCCATCCTACATGTCAATCATTGCTGGTCATTGGATGTTACCAGGCAAGTAACTTTCTTGTTTGTGTTGTATGGCCTGCATTTACAATGCCGGTTTCTATTATGACCATATATATTTGTTCTTTAAAGACTAACACTCCGTGATTCGTGAATCACGGTTGCGTGAATAGTTGATCACGTGTGTGCAAAACTTACATGAATAATCAGGTGAAAATCTGTTGTGAACTTCTCAAAAATATTCTTGGTAGTAGACGGGATCATTTTACTAGTTTTTGGGACCATTGATTTTTAGATCCTTGTTTGAAACATCTGGAAAATGTTTCTAAAGCTTCCTCATGTCGCTCATGGTTTTCATTTTTCTCTTCATCATGATTTGGTTCTAATTACTTGGCAACTATTATGATCCTCTTTGTCTTCGACAGTCTTTGGAGCTGTGGAATATGTCGGAGAATCAGACTAAGACGATGCCGGCACATGAAGGACTAATAGCTGCATTGGCAGTCTCACCCGTGACAGGGCTGGTTTCTTCCGCTAGTCATGACAACTTTGTTAAATTGTGGAAGTCGTACAATTGTTAGCAGAGATCGAAGTTAACAGCCTGATAAAATTCCCATTAGTTTTGTTTTGTTTTTCTACTTTTAATCTGCAACGATCGCTAGTCTATGGTTGGTGTGGTTCAAATGTGTCCATGTTGTGGATTGTACTGATTTCGGCTTCCCTAAACCCCCCAACCCCCGGTAGCTAACCTTGTCTGTTGTATGATACACTGCATGATATGTAACCTTGTATGTTTAACTTGGACATTCCTTATTCTCAGACCTTTTGTTTGTCTTATTTGGTGTTTTGAATTGCATTGTCTTGGTTTTATGCCCAACCCTATGTTCCACAAGGCTCATACTCGTCCACTTATTCATGCCCTGAAGTGGTGAGCGAGGTAACCTGACATAGAAAAAGAACAAGGAAAATCATGAAGTTTAAGAATTGGTGGTTTAAAAACTAATGGTGCTGAAGCATTTTTTGGGGGTAAAAGATAATGGTTATGTGATAAGTAGGACGGATTAAGGTTTTTTTTTGTTGGGATGAATTCGAACTTATAAAATTCAAGATGAAAATAATTTTTTAATATAAAATATATAGTAGTTTTGAAACTTTTAGAAAATTTATAAAATATATAGGATGACTGTTTTCACCAATCCCTAGGTCCATTCCTAGTGATAAGTAACAATATAGCAACTCTTTGATTGTTTGATTTCATGTCCGTTTAATATGAATATAAAGTAGTATCTGTTCGAAAAATTAGGTCTTGAAAAGGTTGTTTGATTGTATATTGATTTTAAAATAATAAAACAATGTTGATTTACTAAAGAATTAGTAGTGTATCCTCCGTATTATGCTCAGGGGTGATCGTTGGTAATTCTTGGTAATTCTTGAAGTAGGTGGACATCATTTTCAAAACCCCTTCATGATTTTTCAATTCTCGAGGCAATGTTCGTTTATTGGGGGCAATAATTGAGCTTTCTCATTCATGCTATAAGGTGAATATTATTGGTTTCAATAAACGAATATCATTTTCAAAACCTTACATACATAATAAGTTTTAAATTAAATAAAACCTCGAACTCAAAATTTTCGATTTTAAATATAAGGTAATCGACTAGGTACAAATTTCTGGGCCCTGTGGGGGTGCTAACCCTTCCCCACGCGTAATTGATTCCTGAACATGTTTTCTGGTTTTCGTAGACAAAATTGGTATTTTTTATAAAATAAAAATGTTTTTATTAAAATTACCTGATTTCTAGTGTTCCAGTTGCACTTTAAAATGATTGGTGGTGAGTCCAAACATTTCATTTCAAAATCTTTTAAAAAAACCCATATCGTTGCAACTAGTTGGCCTTTCCCTTCGAGGGGATGGTTGCGACAATTAGGTTGTATATGTATACGTTGGTTTTCTATTCAATAAAACATATCTTGCCTGACTTTACAGTACAACTCATAATGCCATCAAAATTTTGATGAAAAATGACGAGTTAAGGACATAATGAATAATCGGGTGATCATTTTGTAATTTTTAATAGTCGGGGGACTCAATAAAGCAACTACCAATAGTAGAGGGGTCATTTTGTAACTTTTAATAGTCAAGGGACTCAATAAAGAAATATCCTATAGTCAGAGAATTATTTGTGTACTTTACCCAAGAATTAACTATTTATATTTGACTACAATTTGTAACATTCAGTATACTTTTTTTTTATTAATATGGAGTAAGTATATGTTTAAATATAGTTCTCAACCTTTCGACATTGAACGCTCGCACTCTTAGTATCTATGTTGCTCGAACCCGGGTCTTCAAGGAATAATAACAATTCATTTACCATGGAGACCACTTAATCCGTGTGCATACTCGTATTTAATATTTTGATACGTTTAATGTACACGACATGGGATGCACATGCCAAATAAGGTGCAATAATTTACATATTGGATGGCTATAAAATAGGTAAAAAAATTTTCTTTGCCGGTTGGGATTTGTGTGTGGTTGATGTTATGTTGGTGCATGAATTCCACAACCTTAGATGGAAAGTAGTATTTGAAAAATATTTACTTTTATGTTACACATAATACAAAAAGAGAAAAAAACCTCATTGACCAAAAATGTCTTATAATATATGATTTTAATCAATTTTTTTTTGGATTTGTCAAAATGATCAACTAAATCGCAATGCGATCGATAATTTGCAACGCGATATCTGGTATCGCAAATCAATTTCCAGATTCGCAATGCGAACTTCGACTATCGCAATGCGAACTTGGACTATCGCAATGCGAATATGTAAATCGTAATGCGATAGTCCAAAATCGCAACGACTGGTGGTATTGCATTTGTTTCTTAAGAATTTTCTCTAAAAAGATAGTATTCGCGCGGACGTGTCGAAGACACGTATTTCCACGACCACGGCCACGACCCGAGACGAGACGAGACGGACGGTGGCGGCGGCGGCGCGCAAGAGTCCCCCTTGTTCTCTATCACTCAACAAGGAAGTGGGAAAGCCAAGCCTTAAATACCATTCCCAATAGTGTTTCCAATACTATGTGAGATTGAACATTACCAACACTTGTTTCCAATACAATGTGATTATTCAGGAAACAATTAACAATCATTCACCTTAAAACAACTGAATCAGCAACCAATTGCATTAGTATTATACGATTAAATATGTCATAATTAAAAGTCAATATACAATCAATCGCGATTATTGTAATTTTAAGCAAAACATTCAAAAATAATATCACTATTTAAGACTCAATCCCACATAGTATTGGGAACAAGTGTTGGTAATGCTCAATTCCACATAGTATTGGAAACACTATTGAGAATGGTATTTAAGGCTTGACTTTCCCACTTCCTTGTTGAGTGATAAAGAACAAGGGGGACTCTCGCACGCCGCCGCCGTCCGTCTCGTCTCGTCTCTGGTCGGGTCGGGTCGGGGTCGGGGTCGGGGTCGTGGTCGTGGTAATACGTGTCTTCGACACGTACGCGCGAATACTATTTTTTTAGAGAAAGTTCTTAAGAAACAAGTGCAATACCGTCGTTGCGATTTTGGACTATCGCAACGAGCTTGAAATAAATCGCAACGCGAACTTGGACTATCGCAACGAATTTGGAATAAATCGCAACGCGAACTTCGACTATCGCAACGAACTTGGACTATCGCAATGCGAATATGTAAATCGCAATGCGATAGTCGAAGTTCGCGTTGCGAATATGGAAACTAATTTGCGATACCGGAGATCGCGTTGCGAATTATCGATCGCATTGCGATTTAGTTGGTCATTTGACAAATCCAAAAAAAGTTGGTTAAAATCGTATATTATAAGGCATTTTTGGTCACTGAGGTTATTTTCTCATAAAAAAATGCATTTATAGTTTAATCTTGATTGTTAACACGGTTTATCAATTTGAATTAATTTATTAAGTTAATATTTTTTTTATGCAAATAGAGTTATCGGTAAAAGATGAAATATTCAAAATTACAATGAAGTTTGTAAATTAAACACATAAGTGTACCGGACATTCATAAACTATAACATTCATTTTAAATTCGTCTCTAAGTTTTTGAGCATTCTAACTATGACTCCTGTTCTAAATTGGTTTCTAAACTCTTAAACTTTTCAAATTCATCCCCAAACTATATCTCTCATTCTAAATCGATCCCGAAACTTTAAAACATTCTAATAACATCCCCATAAATCATCCAAAAGTTTAGGAATGGAATTAGAATATTCAAATGTTTGGGGGAAAATGTATAATATCGATGAACATAGTTTAGGGATGAATTTAGAATATTTAAAAGTTTGGGGATCAATTTAGAATATGAATCATTATTTGATGGTGAAATTAAAATATTAAAATATTAAAAACTAATTTAAAATAATTGTCATAGTTTAAAGATATATTATACAATTAACTCTATTATTTTTAAAGTATTTATTCACACAACATATAAGAAAAATATTGTACCCTGTCACATTAATATTATTAAAATTTTACCATTTTAGTTAACATTTTTAATGAAAAAATTTATATATTTAAAAAAAATCAAACTTAGCTCAGAAAATATTAAGAATCAATTTGACGAAAGATATTATTGTTAAGAGCTACATTTATCTATATATATTTTTTTATACCAATGAGGATTTGAGTTTATGGTCAAGTGCTAATATCTTGAGGGAGCCTTTGGTTCACCGAAAAAATCATTGTCAAGAGGAATGATATTTTTTGAAATTATATTTTCATGTTTGGTTCACAGAAAAAATTATTATTGGGTAGTAACTTATTACCAATAATAATATTTTTTTATTAAAATGGTCTAGATTTTATATTGGTTTAAATTTTATCATATATAAATTATATTTAAAATTATTATAACTGAGATAAAATATATTTAAATTATCATAATTTAAAAGTTTTTATCATAATTAAATTACTCATTAATTTTATTTTGAGGTTAACTCATTAACTTTTATTTGAATTCAGGTGAGACTTTAATTTTTAATTTATCACAAAATAAACTTTTAATATAAATGGATCTTTTATTTATGATAAAAATTTATTTGAAAACAAAATGAAAATATTAGATTTTATTTGGGTCTAATTTATTTATCCAAATAATTGAATATAAATTGTAGCTGTCAAATGAATTATAAAAAAGTTTATAAGAAAGTCATTTTTTTAATTTTTGGAAATTCGTGGCGCAATGTGATTGGGCAAGGAATCAAAATTCACGGGTCAACTAAAATAAGTCAAATAAATGAAAGCATGGGTGAGGAAGAAGCAATCTGGTTTATTTATTTATTTATTTATTTTTAGGGATAAAACAACTTTAGTCCTTGAAGTTGGTAACTTTCTATAACTTAGTCCCTCATTCTTTGTCCATATTTGTCCTCAATTTATCATTTTAGTCATTTTTATGACGTGGCACTTGATATTATCATATTATGACATATGTAACAGCCTTAGAGTTTTACATCATCAAAATTACCAAGTCCAGGACTAATGTGGAAAATAGTTAAGGATCAAATTGAGAAAAGTTACTAAGTTTAAGTACTAAATATTTGTTTTATCCCGTAAATTTAAAGAATTTTAAACTGTAGCGGCCTCCCGCCCAGGAGGTACGCTCCTCTCTGTTGGGGAAAATGGGTTATTTCCCACACGAACGTAGTTTTAAAATTGACCTAAAATGTCAAGATTAAAACCACCAAAGGTTGCACAGCGGATAAACCTGTCAAACTATTGAATATTGAA